AAGGAAGCAAATGACTTAAGGACAAGGGGAACTGGGTTTTTCAGTGTCGGCGGGAGGAAGGGAGAAAGCCGGCCTGACATCGCAGTGCTGGGCTCGAACTGGAGGCATCGGTATGAACTTGAGGTTTCAACAGGTAGTCAGAGATGCAGAAATAAAGGTGGACGTAAATATGTGTGTGCTGAGCACACAGATTTTGGCTTCTAAGTGCCATCAGTCACTAAAAGGAACCCAGGTGAGTGACAGAAATTGGATTGTCTCATCGTCCTGGAGTCCAAGGTCAAGGTGATATTCGCAGGGCTGCTTCCTTCTGAGGGCTGTGAGGGAGAATCTGTTCCCTGCGCTCCCCAGCTTCTGTTTTGCTGGCAAGCTTTGGCATTCATTGGGCTGTAGAAGCATCACCCCAATCTCTGTCTTCATGTTTACATGGCATTCTCCCTCTGTGTGTGTGTGTGTGTGTGTGTGTGTCTGCATACAAATTTCCCCTTTTGATAAAGACAAAAGTCACACTGGAGGAGGGCCCAGCCTACTCCAGCATGGCCTCATCTTAACTAATTCCATCTGCAATGACCCTATTTGCAAGTAAGGTCACCTTCTGAGGCCCTGGAGGTTAGGGCTTCAGTATATGAATTTGGGACTTCAACACGATTCAACCCACAACAGATAGTAACAGATTATAATGCACTGAATAAATCAGGAAGCCGGGGGACCCAGCAGTAACCTGCTCACCAGCACCCTGGGGGTTGCCTCCTTCCTCTCTCACTTTCCCGCCCCTAGGGGTGCTTCCTGGGATAGGGCATCAACTCGATCATGTGCATTTTAATTCTAATCACAGGAGCTGCTTCTGGGAGCCCCAAACCCACCCAGCGCCCCTACCTCCAGCCCTGGACCATGTGCCAGCCTGGTAGGCAGAGTCGGGGCCAGATGTCAGTGTCCCTGGGACCAGGGATGAGCGCAGCCTGTGGGACTTCATCATCCCAGCCTGAACACCCGATGGGCACTGGCTGAGATGAGTCTTTCCCAGGGAATTTGGGGCTGAAACCAAGAGATCGTAGCCTTCTCTTGAAGAGAGAATATGAAAATCTGGGCGCTGAGAGGCAGGAAAGGAGAAGAAAATAGATGGAAAGAGACAGAGGCGGCTCCGTTGCTGTTTTCCTGTTTCCTTTCTTTTCTGAGACCTGGCTGAGCCCTCTCACAACATGCACTGTGCCCTGGACACGTTGCTGCCTTTCTTCTTGAGGGTGTCCTGGATTAGTGCCTTCTCGATTTCTATGGGTCAGGAATGCAGGAAGGATTCAGGGGGGTGGTCCTGCCTCAGGCTCCCTCAGGTGGGCGCGCCTTCCTGTATTTCTGACCTAAATGTTCATTATTTAAGCTACTACATTTAGGGGAAACTTGTTACAACAGCAAAAGAGAATAAATTCACTTAGAAAGTGGCAGAGCGAGAGCTTGGACAGAGAGCTGAGTCTCGGATGGGTGCTGTCCTTAGAGTACATTGAAGCTCTGAGCCCGGGTAGCTCTGAGATGACCTTAAGGGTGGGGGTTGAATGATTTCCTGAAGAGGGAGGGTGAGAGTTTTGTGAGTGAGCCTGAGACACAGACACAAGGCAGATGGACCCACACAAGGGTACAGAAAGTGGTCTGAATCCTGCCTGTTTCTTTGGGGAATTTTTTTTTTTTTTTTTTGGTTTTGGTTTTAAATTTTTAAAAAGTTCTACCTAACTTTTAATAGTGAAAAATCCCAAACCTACAGACAAGAGTAGCACAATGAACATCTATATCCCTTTGTTTAGACTCACAAAGTATTCACATTTTGCCACATTTGCTTTCCTACGCTCCAAAATTCTTCTAATGCGTTTAGAGAAAAGCATGCAAAACCTAAATATACAGCTCAAATTCTCGCGAAGCAAACATCCATGTAAGCACGATCTAGAATCCCGCCTGTGACAGAGGCTGTCCTTGTGTCCCTCCCAGTCACGAATCCCACCCGTGTCCCCCCTGCCCCCAGGCAACTTACCACCATGATTCTCACACCACATGATGGGGCAGGTTTGAGATGAGATCACTCATCTTTGGGGAGGGTCAGAGTCCTTAGAGAATCAGAGAAAGACCTTCAGGCCCTCTCCTAGATGAAGATATGCACAGCTTTTGGCACTCAATGTGCAGAGAGATTCCTGGTCATAAAGCTCACTGGAAATGAACCCCCAGGGACAGACAGAGGCAGGTACAGCTGCTTCCCAGGAGGCAGCCCTGCATGAGGCCCCAGGGGGCAGAGGGAAGGCCAGGAAGAGGAGAGGTCGTGGTCCTCCTGTCCTTGCTCTCCCCTCCCCTCCTCTGGGGTGGTTAGTTTGCACAGGGAAGTTTTGCTTTCTAGGAATCAGCTAACTCTAGGAGGTGTAGCCTCTCTGGTTGGCAAGACCCTGAGTGTATCACAATGAATACAATTCACGAGCCAAGAAATCTGGTAAGCATTTCCTTGGCATTAGCTCCTTTAGCCTCTACAGTGAAATTATGAAACATGATGAAGCTTATCTGATAAAGACACTGGGAATATTTCCCACCTGCGGACAAGTTAGGTTACTGCTGCCAGGGCAGGGGGGGTTCAAATCCCCAGCCTGGGTGTCTCCCCCAGAGAAAGACACAGGGTTAGGTAAGATTTGGGGAAGGGTAGAGTTGAGGCACAATTTCAATGACACAACGTTTTTGATCGGCACAAAGAAGAGCAGGCTGTGAGGAAGGGCCCAGGCTGTGAGGAAGGGCCCGGGCTGTGAGGAGAACTCAGGGCCCCGTCTCCTTGGAAACAACAGAATTAAGTTAAGTACGTAATACTGAGTCTGGAAATCCCTTGTCCGAGGCTAGGAACCGGGGCTGGAAGTCATGGTGAAGAGGAATTTCCCACTTAATTGGCCAACATTTCTTCTAATCAGTTTTTTTTTTTTTTTCTGCTTCTGTAAACATGCTTGCTACATAGGCCAAAGACCTCAAGGTCAACTGAGAACTCACCCTCCCCTAATGACCTATTGCCTTAGTGCTTGTTAGAAAATCCCATGCCCTGTAACTGCCTGTAGCCCATAGCAATTTCAGGGGTCTGTAAATGAGCCCGTGCCAACTGTAACAACGTGGGTCTAAAAGTGAAATTACCCCTAAGCTAGGGGGCCAGATTTTCAGAGCACTAGCTCTTCTGGGACCGCCGGCATAATAAAACTGAGTTCTCTTTCTCTCTGGGTTACTGCTTGGATTTTCACTGGTCTGATTTTCGGAGCTTTGGGGGTTTTTCCATAGCAGTGGCTGTGTCTCTGTGTCACAGTTACCAGGTTCTCCAGGCAAGGGTGAGATGTCTCGTTCTCACTATTTTGATTTCAAATAGCCAAGTCTGACCATCGATTTTAGAGAACGATATTTCTCCACATTTTTGTCCTCGGAAGTTAATTAACAAAAGCAATTTTACAGATTCACAGATAAGTACTATTCAACACCCACTGCACAGATGAGGAAACTGAGGCTCAGCAAACATTAAGTCACTAGCTCTAGGTTATAACTGAGTCCACAGCAAACCATACCTATTCGGCTCCAGAGCCTGAGGTCATACTAACCCAGACAGCAGCATGGGTACTAAGAGGGGACACTCAAAATCTCTGTCCCCCACTCCAAGACTCTTAATTCACCCAGGCTCCTTGGGTGGAAGGTGTCAGAGATAAATTTCTTAAATCGGTCTTGAGCGTGTGTCAACATTGATTTCTTAACCAGTGGGGAAACCAGAGGTCAGCGTGAGCCAGGCGAAGGTGACTGGGAAGGGCAGGCGCAGACCTGCTTATTTCCCACAGACATCAAACCCCACCCCTCTCACCAGGAGTAGTTAGATCTGAGTCCCGCAAGCCGAGGACATTTTCAGGCAGGAGACATGAATCAGAAATAACCAGCAATATCTGAGAAACAAACCTTAAACCAACTAATCTGAGGCAATGGGGTCGATTCCGTAGCGGGAGCCACTTAAAGTAACCCAGGAGCTGCTGACCTCAAAAAATAAAAGTTATTTTACCGGAATAAAAAAAAAAATGGTTTATTCAGGAATGGCAGGGAATTGCAATTCCGTAGGCAAGTCCTGAGAACGAGGGAGAGGAATGTTTTTATAGAGGGCAAGGGAAGTTGGGAGGGGCCGCTATAGACAAAGAGTCGATGAGAGGAAACTGGGAGTTCGAGTGTAGTGGCTTTTCATCTCCATGAGACACGAAGAAACTGAAGCCCAGAGAGGTTCAGTAATTTCACAAGATCACACAGCCTGTGGGTGGAAGACTGGAATT